GAGACGCAACAGAGATGATTAGTAGACGGGAACTTACTCAAAAAGAGTAATTTGCGCGGCTGAGTAACGGACAAGTTTTAGAGAAAATGGACACCAAAAGAACACAAAGAGACAGTTGAAATTTCAAGGACACAGAATAGAGTATTTTCCTTCTACAAAATCTCCGAAATAAGTGCATACTATAATGTTAAAATATCCTAAAACGGATGAAAAAGTAAAGGCCAAAGGTTTGTGTAATTATTTAATTATATTTTTAATCCTTTTAGAACATTTGAAATGTTGGTAAAAAAATTTCTTGCGTCCTTGTATGCGCTATAAATTAGCATTAACAAATTATAGTGTTTTTCCGTTGAAAGACAGGTTGATTTGGAAATTCTTGAAAAAAAAAACAATATTTGTCGGACATTAATGAAAACTTCAGGACATATTCCCGAATGAATGAAATCATTTGAGAAATTTCTTTTTTAAATAATCTTGGTAAAATTTATATATTTACATTCAACGTACTTAATTTTATGAAAATTCCGAGAAATTCAACGATACTTTTTAGTGTCTATATTAATTAAAAGCAGAACTCTTTTGAATGATCAAATCATTATTTTTTGTAGTAAATACATACTCAGTCTTATCGGAAGAACCGTTAAAAATGCAATCATTCTCAGATATAATTTAAAAAGAAAAGCTCTTAATTTATCTTACGAATAAGCTATGTTAAGGATACTATTGTCTTAAGAAAATAAATTCCAAAGAATAATGAATTTTAAAAGATATGTTTTCATTTTTTAAATATATATATATATATTTTTTTTTTTTTAAAATTAGAATCATTTATAAAGATGTTAAATCTGTTACAATTTAGTTTCAATGGGGAAAGTTTTAGGAAATGTTAGTATTAAGTAAAACTATATTTACTAATCATAAATCGTAAATCTTATTACAATCTGAGGTAGCCCAGTATTTTAAAATAATTTTGAATTGTTTTTATACAGTGTAACCCGGATATAAGAGAGTTGTCGGGACCGGAGAAGAATATAAGGGTTTCTCTTTATCCGGGACTATTTTATATACATTAACACAGGCTCTAATATGGGACCAGAGAAAATCTCTCTTATATCCGGGTTTCTCTTATATCCGGGTTTGGTCTATTTTATATACATTAACACAGGCTCTAATTTGGGACCAGAGAAAATCTCTCTTATATCCGGGTTTCTCTTATATCCGGGTTTGGTCTATTTTATATACATTAACACAGGCTCTAATTTGGGACCAGAGAAAAATATCCTCTTATATCCGGGTTTGGTCTATTTTATACATTAACACAGGCATTAATTTGGGACCAGAGAAAATCTCTTATATCCGGGTTTGGTATATTTTATATACATTAACACAGGCTCTAATTTGGGACCAGAGAAAATCTCTCTTATATCCGGGTTTCTCTTATATCCGGGTTACACTGTATATGCATAAAAGTAGCGATTTTTTTAGATACCGGTGTTCATATTCGTTATAATCAGAAAATAAGAGGTACAACTATTGGTAAATTTAAAACCAAAACATCTAAAATACAATAAAACATTAGATTACGGAGAATATTTTCAAAAACATCTGAGATTACTGAGAACTTAAAAATTATATATAATAGGCACTCGCGTTGTATTCAAATATTTTTACGGCTAAAGCTCTATACTTACAAGATTAGATAAAGATCTATCTATAATCAGTTGTGAAACAAGTCAACAGCTTAACTAAGATATTTCTATATTAAAATGCAGTTCTCCAATATTTCAAACTTAATGTAAATACTATTTGTTTCAAATCAGATTATTTATACTTTAAATCGTCTAATATTCCTCAAATAATTTTTTAAAAAAGAATATCTTATGTTTGGAATATCAGTTAAGAAGGAAAATTACATTGAACTGATGGAAGATTAACACTGGAGCTAAATTAGAATCAAATTTAAGAAATTTCAAAACGAAAATTCCTACCAACCAATTTAAATTTAGTTTTGAAATGCAGCAACCTATTTTGCCTTTTAGAAATATTGAATTTAATCTTTTCGCTTAAAATTAAAACTAAAATCAAAGCTTCCAGAAATGTTTTTCATTTTTAAAAAATAATTTTAAACCTATTGTATTAGGAATATTTGGAAGTAATTACAATAGAGGAAAGATGGACATGATCGACGTAGGACAGAAAATTGTGTCGAGATTTTATCGCCTGCAGACTAAACATACACGGTACATAGATGTATAAAGAGGAAAATATTTTCTACAGTATAATATCGCTTTGGTCTCAATCCATGCATCCCATGACAGCTGCTTCCACGCACATTCATTTTAAGTATTAAGTGGCTTCTTCATTATGACAATGTGCAATCTCAATTGGGTGATACTTTAGTGAGTAAAATAGAAGTATTTGATGTGCAATGATGATACAGCTATTCTATTTGGTATAGTAATGCTACACAAAACTGACTAAATTCAGTAACAAGTGTTTGATTGGGAAAATGGAGGTTTGAAGAGCGTGGAGCCATTTTTCAATTGATATACCCAGATCTACCCTGAACGGGTAAGAGGTAGTAACTATTAGGTTCCCAGCTATAGAAAAAATGAATCTCCAAACAAACGCAAATACCTATGAAAGTATAAAAATATATTTTATAATAAAAATACCAGCAATACTTATTTGTATAATAAATACTAACATTTCATATTTATAGTAAAATTAACAATATAGTTTATAGCAAAATGGACAATAGATTTTATCTGTAGTTGGCTGCATGCAATTACATTCATAATATATTTAACTGATAGTATAAAATTGTATTCAAAATATTTTTGACTGACTGCATAGAATCACATTCAATACATATTTAGTTGAAGGCATAAAATTGCATTCAAATTATTTTGGTGATTGCATACAAATACATTCAAAATATGTTTAGTTGAAGGCATACAGTTACTGACAAAATATATTTAGTTGATGGCATATATTTACATTCAAAATATATTTAGTTGTAGGCATAAAATTGTCAAAATATTTAAATTTCGACATTTAATAATCCATAGTTGTTGATAAGCCGCCAAATGATATCAACCAGACAACTGAAAATTTATTTATTAATTTTTTATATATATATATATATATATATATATATATATATATATATTTATTAAAGACATTTTTATTTATGTTTAACGTTGTTATTTTATAGATACAACGTTAAACATAAAAAAAAAATGTCTTTAATAAATAAATTGTCGGACCTCGTCCATTTCTTAACATATATATATATATATATATATATAGTGAAAAAGTTATAAACTTTCAAACGTGAAAAAATGTATATTTTGAAAATGTTTTAATGTGTATATTATATTCTGTTCTTCATACTGCATATATATATATATATATATATATATATATATATATATATATATATATATACACTCATTAAACACCCTTATAGATAATCCGTCTTAATTAAACACCCTTTAGTTATAACTATTAAAACCTCGTTATATATGTATCCAATTAGTGTTGCTGTATCTGGTATTTTCTGAAATCTCTCGGTCATCATCTTGTTTGGTGAATATTAATTGAGTGATTGATTGTTGGATTTTAACGGATTATCAAGCATTTGTAGGTTAGTTAAAACCAGAAAGTAGAATAGGTTTTATCGAGATTTGGGAGATACTAATGATGAATTGCTGAGATAAATCCTAAAAATTAAGTCATATGTGGAGGGGGGAAGAGATGGATTCAGACATTTTCCAATGATATTTTTTCGTAAGTCGATGTAACGAACACGACCGGAATTAGAACTCGGTTCCCCGGTTTTCTGTTCATAGCTCTTATCCATTTGAACATCCGCACACCCAAGCTTAGAGCTTCTGGTATTGACAAGCGGCCACCAATCTACGTAGTGACAAGGCTCGATGTTGCTTAACTTCGTTGATCTTGGTGTTTCAACGTGATATTGTCGCAGCCATGTACTTGAATAGCGTGCCATTGTAATAGCATATACACAATTATTTAGAGTTACCATTGGAAGTGAAATAATTCATTATATATTTGGATATAAATAAATAATGAGTAGAAAATAACTAATATGGAAAACATGGATATCAGCTGGGATTGGAGAATCGGGGAGCCGAGATCGAATTCTTGTCGAATCCATTACATTCACTTACATGCTAATAATCTTGGGAATGGTATGAATCTTCTTTTTCTCCCCACCAGTTATGGGTAAATAGCAAGATAGACCGGGTTCTATATCCGTAGATGGCAACTGGTCCCCCGCGGAAAGAAATGGCAACATACTGCTGGAAAATTCTGCCTCGTCAGTCATGCATCGAAATATACTCGAACGCCTAAGCATTTATCACAAATGAAACATAACTGCCTGAGTTATGACATGTCGCATCTTCAAAAACTGAAAGAGATTCAGAATGTAGAATAAGATTATAGAAGTACTTAACCTTCAGATAAGCTTTAATAAACTGCCCGATGATTACATGTTACTATATGTATGATTGGCATAATTTATCACTTTTATAAAAATTCGCGCTTTATTAAGAAAAAAAATATGAAAGGTACAAACTATAATAAAAGAAACAAACATCATTAGAAGAGAAATCAAAATAAATTACCAATTTTTATTACATTAACAGGAATCTAGTTATAAATACGAAGCGAATTGTTTCATTTATACATAAGATGGCTTCGTTAATTCTATTTAATGCTAAGGAATCTAGCCACAAATGGAAGAAAAATAGCAATGAAACAGAGAGAAAAGCACAAGTAAGGGGAAATTGTAATATGAGAAAGAAAAGGCAAATGAATATAAAAAAAAATGAAGAAAAATATGCGAAAGAAAAGAAATAAAGGAAGAAGAATCAGTCAAGAAAAGAAGGAAAAATGGCGAAGACAATCAGTGCATAAATAAAATGGAGAAATAAATGTAGGAAAAAAGAATGAAAGAAAATATCAGTAAATTAAAGATAAAAAGAAAATAAGCGAAATGAAATAAGAAATGAAGAATCAGTCGGGAATAAAAATAGAAAAATGTCCTTGAAAATGAAATAAATTGCAAGACGATGAAAGAAAGCAAGGATGAAGAAAGGAAAGAAAAAATAAACAATTGATGAAAAATGAAGAGAAATACCCCCCCCCAAAAAAAAATGCAATGATAGAAAAAATTGAGTCGATGTTTTGGAAAAGAAAATAAATAAATAAGAAAGAAAGGCGAATGTTTTGAAAAAGAAAAAAGAAATAAACAGAAGAAAGAAAGAAAGAATGAACGAAAGAAAGAAAGAAAGAAAGAAAGAAAGAAAGAGAAAAAAGAAAGAAAAAGAAAGAAAGAAAGAAAGAACGAAAGAAAGGCAGAATGAACGAAAGAAAGAAAGAAAGAAAGAAAGGCAGAATGAACGAAAGAAAGACAGAAAGAAAGAAAGAAAGAAAGAAAGGCAGAAAGAAAGACAGAATGAACGAAAGAAAGAAAGAAAGAAAGAAAGAAAGAAAGGCAGAATGAACGAAAGAAAGACAGAAAGAAAGAAAGAATGAAAGAAAGACAGAAAGAAAGACAGAATGAACGAAAGAAAGACAGAAAGAAATAAAAAAGGAAAAAAAGGCAGAATGAACGAAAGAAAGACAGAAAGAAAGAATGAAAGAAAGGCAGAATGAACGAAAGAAAGAAAGAAAGAAAGAAAGAAAGGCAGAATGAACGAAAGAAAGACAGAAAGAAAGGAAAGAAGAAATGAAAAGAAAGAAAGACAGAAAAGAATGAAATGAACGAAAGAAAGACAGAAAGAATGAAAGAAAAGGAATGAATGAAAGAAAGAAAAGAAAGAAAGAAAGGCAGAATGAACGAAAAGAAAGAAAGAAAGAAAGAAAAAAGAAAAGAATGAACGAAAGAAAGAAAGAAAAAAAAAAGAAAGAAAGAAATGAACGAAAGAAAGAATGAAAGAAAGGCAGAATGAACGAAAGAAAGAAAGAAAGAAAGAAAGAAAGGCAGAATGAACGAAAGAAAGAAAGAAAGAAAGAAAGAATGAACGAAAGAAAGACAGAAAGAAAGAAAGAATGAAAGAAAGGCAGAATGAACGAAAGAAAGACAGAAAGAAAGAAAGAAAGAAAGAAAGGCAGAATGAACTGAAAAAAGAAAGAATGAAAGAAAGCAGAATGAAGAAAGAAAGACAGAAAGAAAGAAAAAAAGGCAGAATGAATGAAAAAAGAAAGAAAGAAAGAAAGGAAAGGCAGAATGAACGAAAAAGAAAGAAACAGAAAGAAAAGAAAAAGAAAGACAGAAAAAGAAAAAAGAAAGAAAGGCAGAAAGAAAGAAAGAATGAAAGAAAGAAAGAAAAGAAAGAAAGAAAGAAAGGCAGAATGAACGAAAGAAAGAAAGAAAGAAAGAAAGAAAGAAAGGCAGAATGAACGAAAGAAAGAAAGAAAGAAAGAAAGAAAGAAAGAAAGAAAGAAGAAAGAAAGAATGAAAGAAAGGCAGAAAGAAAGAAACAGAAAGAAAGGCAGAATGAAAAAAGAAAGACAGAAAAAAAAGGCAGAATGAACGAAAAAAGAAAGAAAGCAGAATGAAAAGAAAGAAAGAAAGAAAGAAAAAGAAAAATGAACGAAAGAAAAAAAGAAAGAAAGAAAAAAGAAAAGAATGAATGAAAGAAAGCAGAATGAACGAAAAGAAGAAAAGAAAGAAAAAGAAAGAACGAAAGAAAGGAAAGAAAGAAAGAAAGAAAGAAAGGCAGAATGAAGAAAGAAAGAAAAAGAAAAAATGAAGAGATATATGCGTAAAGAATAGCAATGAAAAATAAGTCGAGTCGATAATTGAAAGAGAAAACTGTCTTTGAAAAGAAAATAAATAAAAAAGAACGAAAGAAAAAAGCCAAAGAATGAAAAAAATGAAGAGAAATATAGGTAAAGTAAGAAGAAATTAAAGAAAAAACCCAGAAGAAAAAGTGGTTTAGAAAAGGAGCTAAATAAAAAAAAAATGGAGAAATTTGAATAAATTTTTAATTAGTTCCATGTCCGACTAGCGCAATTTATTACAAGAAAAAAAAAGAAAGAAAGAAATAGAGTTTTAGGCTAGGTGAAGAAAATAACAGAGAAATGAAAGAAAGATAGAATTAAAATAAATGAGAAAGGAAGAATTGAAGAACGATGAATTATAGAGAAATACGTGACAAAAACATAGCTACAAAGAAGTAAGAAATAAAGAAAGGTAAGTGAAAAAAAAGACGACGGGATAACAGAAAGAAAAAAAAAGAAAAAGAAAGGATGGAAGGAAAAACAAACGTTCTAATAAAAACAAAAAATAATAATAAATTGAGAAATATATGAAAAGAAAGATGGAAATAAAGATGCAATAAATTAAAGAATAAAAAGAAAAAGAAAAGATGAGAAAATCAAAATGAAGGAATTGTTTACCCTTGCAGCAACATCTTTTAATATTTTCACGCATCAGTCCTGTCATTAAATCAGCTGGTTAAATTAACCCAGCTGCAAATATAGCTGATGTTTACTATTTTAAGCCTATTGTGTAATATGTTTTTGGTATAGGCTGCCGACAATACCCGTTTAGTTCCCCCCTCTCTCTCACACACACGCACACTCTTTCTATCTTCTCTCCCCCTCTCTAAGCTGTATGTTTTCGTTTCCATTTAAAGATAGTAACCTTTCTCGTCAGGTCATATTCTTGGGTGCTCATCAATTTCACATCTAATTTTAAAGCATTGGAAATTCAAATCACTATTTTATTAACGAGCATCAAATTATTGGACAATGAGTATTTTAAGTATTAATCATGCAAAGTGATTGTGTCTTTTGGTTAAAAGAACTGAAGAAATGAATAGGAAACACTTATAATTTGATAGTGTGTAGAAAATTATTAAGTCCTTAAACCTATTAAAAGAAAAAGTATGTTTCAGGAGACTACCTGATAGCAGAAACGGAAAAGAAATTTCAAGATTACCTAAAGAAGGTAGCGACATAGACTGAGAAGGAGAAAAAAACTAAGCATAAACTACAAGAAGACAGAAAGATTGGTCATCAGTAAGAGGACGAGCCCGAAATGCGATTTGCAGGTTGGGAACACTAGTATGAAGCAGACGCAGAAATTTATATATCTTGGAAAGCTTGTAGCTGAACCCTCGAGCGCCCCCGTATCACAAGAGGCCCGTTAGCATTTTCGAAGAACGTTAAATCTGACAAGGTGAAACAACATAGACGATATAACGAGGATATATAAGATATAAGCTAATTTATTCTAGCAAAGTAATAAAGAAATAAAGGTGGTCGGAACGGTAGAGATGCAGATGTTCCGGTGCAGGCATTGATGGTCGAGGTTGGTTGTTACAGGTGATCGCTGCAGTTGATGTTGGTCAATGCAGTAGAAGTTGATGTTGGTCGTTGCAGTAAAAGTTGATGTTGGTCGTTGCAGTTGAATTTGGTCGTTGCAGTTGATGTTGGTCGATGCAGTAAAAGTTGATGTTGGTCGTTGCAGTTGAAGTTGATGTTGGTCGTTGCAGTAAAAGTTGATGTTGGTCGTTGCAGTTGATGTTGGTCGTTGCAGTAAAAGTTGATGTTGGTCGTTGCAGTTGAAGTTGATGTTGGTCGTTGCAGTTGAAGTTGATGTTGGTCGTTGCAGTAAAAGTTGATGTTGGTCGTTGCAGTTGAAGTTCATGTTGGTCGTTGCAGTAAAAGTTGATGTTGGTCGTTGCAGTTGAAGTTGATGTTGGTCGTTGCAGTCCGGGTCGCCGTCCTGGCCACGAAAGCCAGGAGCCTGTGTACCGACCGTTTAATTCGCCGACCCTAAATTTAGTGAGAAGTCACTGTCTTGTGTAAGGGAGACTAGGAAGAGAAATGGGTAAGCTAACACAGTAAAGTCTATCTATTAAAAGAGTAGAGCTTAGCTAAAAGAAAACCAAGGCCTTAAAATGCCTAGAAGTTTATTACAACTAGGTTCGTAATATAACTAAACTTGAAAAGATAACTTGCTAGTCTCTACCTCGGGTTAAAAGCGTTGGGGAGCACAACCAAAAGTTCAAGGTCGAAATGAGCTGCTTTCTTCCGGTTTAAGGAGCCAAGGAGGAGCTACCTCCGACAAGTTCTTCACAGAGGACGGTAAGTACGACACCGAGATCCGTAGACGTATTGGGATGGCCAAGGACACATTCCAAAAGCTGAGCAGGGTGTTACGAGACAGGGAAATTTCTTTGGTAACAAAAAAAAAGGATGCAGAACTGTTACGTGACATCTCTTCTCCATGGCAGCGAATGCTGGACGATTTCCTCAAAGATGAAGAAGAAACTCGTGGCGACGGAGATGGGGTTCTACAGAAGGCTGCTAAAGATATCATGAAACGAGCATGTGAGCAGTGATAAGGTCTTAGAGAAGTTGCAAACAAGGAGAAGGTTTATGCTTAATATCAGGAAGAGGCCGCTGAAGTTTCTGGGACATATAATGAGAAAGGAAAGCCTAGAGAATCTGATACTCACTAGACGAATGAGGGGAAAGAGAACCAAGGGATAACTTGAGCGGGTGGGTTGTTTTGTTATACAGCATATCAACTTCAATGGGTTACTTAATGCCGAAAAAATTTCAATATTGGTAATATTTTTTTTTTTTTTAATGAATTTCTGGTAATAGTTTTTCCTTCAATAGTCTATTTCTGCTAATAATCTTCCTTTGCAGACAACATTTGTTTTTCAAAAATTTATTGCTGGTAATAGCATTTTTACAAAGTATTTCTGGATGGATGGATGTCAGTTATCGCCTGTTAATTCCCCTTTCCAAGTTCTCCACTGCTTTAAATGGGTATTGAACGGACATTATTTGGGTCCTGTCACTTTTGGATCTAGCCAACGTTTTATCCATTGTGTCATGTGTACTGATAGCTGATATCCATTCAACACGGCACGAGAAACTAGAACAGTCTCCCCCATTGAGTGAAATTAAGGGTTCAATTGGACATTCCAACCACTTGAAGAAGGACGGAGTGTACAACGGCCGAAACGTCGTAATAAATATGGTGACAAAAATGAGGACAATAGTCTTAAAAATGTAAATAGTGTACATAATCCCTCATCTCAGAAATATAGACAGATACTGACGTTTTAAACTTGGTGACTATGTTTCAGCAATAATTTAATACATTGTGTAAGATTTCCTTACTTTTTAAAGATTTTTTCCGTCATCACTAAGAAATATGGATGGACATAGATTAGAGTTGATTGAGAGACAGACACACAGACAAACAGATAGATAGATAGATAGATAGATAGATAGATAGATATATAGATAGATAGAAATTGATTCACTGGTATAGATATTTGGAGGATAGGAATTTATTGAATGAGATAAATAGAAAGATAGATAAATAGATAGGAATTGATTCACTGTTATAAATAGATAGAGATATTGAAATTCCTTGAGTGAGATAGATTGACAAAGAGAGGGTGATAGGGATTGTTTGATTGAGGTAGATAGCGAGGTAGTAATTGCTTGAATGATAGAGATAATTATATAGAAAACTAGCTAGATAGATAGATGTATAGATTGATAGATAGGTATGCATTGAGTGGAATAGTCAGTAATTTATTGAATGAGAAAGACAGAGAGATAATGATTGATTGATTGTAACAGATTGATATATACGAATTTACTGATATAGATAAATAGAGGGGTAGATAGATACATTTTGTGATATAGGTAACTAGATAAATATTAGGTGGATACATACATACAAAAAAATGGATTCATTGACTGAAGTAGATAGATAGATAGATAGATAGATAGATAGATAGATAGGAATTCATTGAGTGAAATATAGACAGGGCGAGAGAGCAATGGGTTGACTGAAATATATAGGTAGTAATTGGTTGGATGAAAGAGATAAATATATAGATAACTTGCAATAGTTATATAGATTAATAGTTATTAATTGATTGAATTAGATAGTGAAATAGTAATATATTGAATGAGACAGATAGACAGATCAGAATCAATTGACTTATATATATATATATATATATATATATATATATATATATATATATGTATATATATATATATATATATGAATTGATTGATATAGCTAGATACATAGATAAGAATCGATTGATATATATATATATATATATATATATATATATATATGAATTAATTGATTGATATAGCTAGATACATAGATAAGAATCGATTGATATATATATATATATATATATATATATATATATATATATGAATTAATTGATTGATATAGCTAGATACATAGATAAGAATCTATTGACATATATATATATATATATATATATATATATATATATATGAATTAATTGATGGATATAGCTAGATAGATAGATAGATAGATAGATAGATCGATAAGAATCGATTGACATATATATATATATTAATTGAGTGATTTATATTGATAGATAGGACTTTACTGATTGATATACATACATAGGTTGAGATAGCTCGATATTAATTTTTGTTTTACTGCGATAGGTATTAATTGCTTGAATGAAAGAGATGCATTTATAGATAACTAGGTAGCTAGATAGATCTATAGTTTCATAGATACGTATTGATTGATTGAAATGCTGAGATATTAATTTATTGTATGAGACAGACAGACAAATAGGAATGTATTGTATTGAGTGATGCAGGTAGATATTTATGAATTTATTGACTAATATAGATAGATAAATAGTTGTGAATTGATTGAATGATATAGATAAGTAGGTGAATAGGTATATAGGAATTGATCTACTGATATACATATATGCATACATACATATATACAGATGAATTCATATATATAGGAATCAGTTGACGGATATAGAGTGAGCAACATAGGAATTGTTTGACTGAGATAGATTGTGATCTAGTATTGATAGAATACTATATATATATATATATATATATATATATATATATATATATATATATATATATATATATATATATATATATATATATATATGCGTATAGGTAACTAGCTAGATATACAGATATATAGATTTCTAGATAGGTGCTGATTGAAATTGATAATGGGATAGTAATTTATTGAATGAGACAGACGGATAGATACCATAATCCGTATTAATAAATTCCATGAAAATATTTGCATAATAATACCACAAACCCCGTCACATCCACTATCAAGAACGACCTCTCCAATCTAAATAATATCAAAACAGTCACAAACACTTCCGAAACCATTATGACTATAATACTAATAACAATAATAATTCTGAAGAAGGCATTTATAAAAATAAGTTGCCAAAACTGTTCCTCCCAATATACTAGATGTACAGACAGGGATTTGGAAATGCGCATCTGTGAGAACAAAAGAACTCACAAAACTATTTAACTAATACACTAGTCAAACAAAGAGATAAGTTCAAGAACAATTTTGATTTTAAAAATGCTACACTCATGCAAAAAGAAAATTATTCACTCAGAGGGAGAGTCCTCGAGTGTTCCGCCATTGAATATTATCCAAATACTAATCATTACCCATTTTTTACCTGTATCACCATTCCTAACAGAATTGCTACTCTCCCAAGCCAACTTACACAACTATAACTAGATATCAAGTGAGGATGTTTAAATCCGTCAACACAGCATTAAAAACTGTATTTCTACACGTGATAGGCATAATTTTCAGTTGCCAATATGAATAAAATAGAGTTTTCTAAATTCTTCTAATTGCTAAGGATATTTTGTTTGTTGTTAATATTTATATTGTTTTTCAATAAATTCATGTCGTTTTTGTTTTCAGAGAGTCCACATTGGACGAAACCGGTCGGCTAATGATAGAGTTTTTCTATTGTCTTATACCTTATATATATATTGTGTTTTTCTACGGAGTAATTCTGAGAAAATTGTAAAAAATTTTAGTTTGGGGTCGACATGTATCAGTGCTAGCTCCGAAGATAATTTTTTGTATTATTTCCTTAAACTTTTTCTGACAGTCTTCCGTCCAATTCCATTTGATCTCTTTTTTCAGTAACTCATTTAAGGGGTGGGTAAATTTATGCATATTTTCAATGGATTCACCATTATAGTTTGTTAGAACAAGGAAACTTTGTAATTCTGCGACATTTTTTTGTCGCAAGCATATCTTTAATTGCAGATGCCCTCTCTGGGTCTGGTTTCCTACCACCTTCATTAATTATATGGCCTAAGTATTTGATTTCATTTAGGAAAAAATGACATTTTTTTTCTTTTACTTTAAACCCAAAATCTTGAAGTCTTTAAAAAACTTCCTTTATGTGCGTTGCGTGATCTTCAACATTGTCGCTTTTAATTAGAATGTCATCCAATAACCGGTGGCAAAGTTCTGGCCAATGTGCATTGTATCTATGGTTTATTGAAAAATTGCCGGTGCTAACTTTACACCAAATGGTAATCTGTTAAATTTGTACTGTTCTTTGTGCGAATTAATACATAGAATTTTCGTACTCTCTTCTGCTACTGGAATCTGTAAATAAGTCACGCTTAGATCTATTTTGGAAAATACCTTACCGGCGTAAAGATTGGTAAATATTTCCTCTGTACTTGGTAATGGGTAATGATGATCTTTTATAGCCTTTTTTAGCCCAGTCGAAAAATCTGCGCAAACACAGATTTTCCGGATATTTTTTTTTACATAGACTACAGGTGCCGCCCATTTACTGAACTCAATATTTGAAAGGTCCCAGTTTGTTCAAGTCTCTCTAATTCTTTCTCGATTTTTTTATATGGTAGCAAACGGCACGTTCCTTTTCTTTTTAAATACTGGTTGGACATTTTCTTTTAATTCAATTCTGGCTGCAAACTTGTTGCATCGTCCCAACCCCGAAAATACCTCGGGAAATTAATTATGTAATTCTTCCTTTAACCTTAAGCTTCTGATATTTCGCAATCTATCTTTTTACAAAAAGAGCTGATAGATAAATCCCATACGTCGAACTTTTGCATCCAGTCTGTAACCACCAGATTTTCTGTATCTTTCATTACGAACATTTTGAGTTTTCTTGTTTTCTCGTGAAATTTTACATTTAGGATTACTTCTTCGAATTTTATACGCTTTCCTGTAACATACTTAGCAGTTTTCTGTGTATGTAACATTGTTGGGCTATTAAGCTTTCTCCATGTTTGTAGGTTAATTATCGTGAGATCTGACCCTAAATCTAGTTGCAATTATATCATTTTATTTAAGATTTCAAGTTCTACATATTTCTGTATGTTAGTATTGTCTTCGTCATGCATTCTAGTAGCTCTTATCCTACTAGTAAATTTTCTGTTCCTACATTGGGATGCCTTGAGTTTTCCACAAGCAAGACAGTTTTTATATTTAAATCGACATCCCTATTCCAGTGTAGTCCTCCACATCGATAACATGCAGATGGGAGAGGGGGCTTATATTTACTTTGATTTTCGTCATTATTTGCCCTGTACGTTGTACTTTTTTCATTATTAAAGAATTTTTGTTTTCTTTCCGGGGAGGGTGAAAAACGTAAACTTTTGTTTAACTTATGTATATATGATACTCCTGACTCCTCTATATCCTTCGAGTCTTTCTTTATGCTCAGGCATTTTTGGCAGTCTTCCGATAGTTTTTGTAGTGTTAATCCAGGTACATTTGGCAGTTTTGAAAGCATTCTTTTGCGCATTTCGCTATCCTTTGTTGAGACTAACCCTTGTATAAAAATAAGACACTTGAAATTGTCCGGGGTTAATTCTGCCAAACTGAAGTCGTCGCAATGTTTATTCACAATTGCGGCGAACGTGGAATAGGCCTCATTTTCAACCTTTACGAGTTTAAGACATTCCACCTTTTGTGAAAAAGTGACGTTTTCGGGCTGAAAAGCTCCGTCAGGCATGTAACTGCTTCATCAAACCTTAAATCATTTGTCTTCGGCAAAATGTAATCCGCAAATTTCGTGTATTCATCAGTTCCTAATTTCCTGAGAAATAGTCGTAGCTTCTTTGTTTCCGTCCAGTTTTGACAATCGATGTTGAAGATGTCTTCATGACGTCTGAAAAAATTCCCGACATTTCTATCCTCTTCTAGGGAGTATTTGAATGTTTCTATCGTGTTCCATATTGCATCTTGGGAAAAAGTCGCCTCTTTTTCAATCTTTTGTTGTTGTGTATTACTCGCTACTTTTACAATTAGCTCCTGGAGTTGTATTTGTCTTCCTTTATTTCGCATTTGTCTTTCATGATTTTCCTTCTGCGTGTGTAGTAATATTTTTCCATTCTTTCTTGGAACTTTAATTGCTGTATTTTGTCTTTGTTGAAGTTGTATTTGCTGTTTATTTTAGTATTTTACAAGTTCTACTAAAATAATTTTAAAATCCTCCATGATAAGACTCTTACGAAAAACTCGATTTTCCGTTCTTTAGTTCTCGTAACTCTTTGTTACATAGTTGTTGTGGATACTGGCAAAAACAGGAAATCTCTCTTGTGAGTGTTCCAGAAATGCAAATTCTTGTCGCCTAAGCTGTTGTCGTGAGAAGAGAGATTTTTTTTCTTTCCGTGTAGGTCCCGATTCCTCGTCACCAAATTGTGGTCGGCAAGGGAGAATTTTTCTTTGTTCTCTTCCTGTGTGAGTTCGAATTTCCTCGTCGCCAAGTTGTTGTGGTCGACGAGTGAGAATATGTTTTTCTTCCGTGTGAGTTCGAAGTCCTCGTCGCCAAGTTGACGACGGAGAATTTTGTCTTTTTTGTTCTTCCCGTGTGAGTTCCATATGCTCGTCGTCATTTTCTTGTGGATTCCGGGATGAAATCCGGTACCAATAAATAACAAACGACAAGAATGAATATAGGAAAATAATGTATTAACGTAATAATAGAAACTGGTAATGCAGGTTATTAGTTCCCAGAATGCGGGTCAGTAGCAAAATATATATACAGTCTTTGGTATTGAAGTATCGCTGTATGACTTCTTCCTGAGTCTACGTGCTCGCTCACTATGACTCTTGCTCGCTACGTTTGTTCTGTCTGTCCGTCTGTCTGTCCTTCCGTTAACTTCACTCTCTGTTGCTCTCGTCACTCGGGTCTTCACGTAGCAGTAGTATATGTATATACTGGGTGAGTCCATTTGTGTAAAAAGGGGAGAAACCCTCAACAGATAGATAGATAGATAGATAGATAGATAGATATAAATTTATTGAGGTGATCGTTGATCATATAGGTAGGAATTGGTTGACTAGGGAAGACTGATTTAATATTTTTGTTAGTTTCAATATATTGTGGTAAAGTTGTTAGATTTATTATTAAATATCAGCTAGATAATCACTTTGAACAGGCTGAAATTGAGGGAATCATGAAGGACATAATATGGAGTGGACACTGCATATTGAGATCTGTTAAGAAATCTCGAAGAAAAAATATTCTCAACAAAGTAACACAAAATTTGAGACAATAAGTACATTAAAATAGAATTTTCAAAAGTAATTGGCATGGATAAATCAAGTGTGACACTAGATGGATCTGATAAGGGGGCAAAACGTTGTATTTTATTCGATGCAGATATTCTGTGAGTTAAAGAAGTCAGCAAGAAGACATTGTTCGGATGTTATCAAGTAAACATTTATTGGAACCTCCAATCAAGGAAACACTTAAACTGAATAGCGTTATTAATTGTGATTTCATCATAAATATTTCTTGAATAGTACAACGATCTGCCTGAGACTTTCAAAGTGATTACAATGCTCATTCTCGTGTATCTAAGGGTAACCGTAAGCTTTGAGGCTAAAACGTTTAGAGGAGACGATATCGGAATGATCATTATCATGACTCGATCTGGATTCAATCGAAATAAAAAATAATACTTGAAATTAATTTAATCCCAGCAATTGTGTAATACTTTTAATTCGGGATGTGTGGACAATCCACTGAAATCTCATCCGAATCGTAGAAATTACATTTTCGTTTAGTACGTCTGAAGAATTCATTCCGCTATGGTATGTGTACGTGTGTGTACTTATATAATTCACTGTCATACAATTATTTCCTAGGTCTGCTATCCAATATTTTCCTATTATAAGATATATTAAAAGTGGAATAGCATTCGGTAATTAACCATTATAATGTATTGGTTAATTGGTGAGATATTTTCGGAAAAACACACAAATTATATATATATATATATATATATATATATATATATATATATATATATTAATATTTTAATAATAATTAATAATATATTAATAAAGAAAGCCAACTATTAACAATATTAATGACAAACAAGGCCACAATGTGCCAGCCGTGTTCGGTAATTAAAAACATCTCCTAAACACACTAAAACATACACATGATGCACAATTAAACTGAAAAATTGAATCATCCTTGAAAATGGCTAAAAGTATAGCCGAAAGCGCTCGAAACTATAAAATATTTGAACAGTTTTTCCAGAAATGGAAACATTTATTCGAACACAAGAAAAATTAAATAGAAATCTTAACTGTAGTACCTTGTCCGTCATTTATAATGAAAAATGCATATATATATATATATATATATATATATATATATATATATATATATACACTCACAGATATACAGATGCGTAATATATGAATTTTGATATGCATATGCGTCCACAAAACATTATTTAATTAAAGTGTCTGCTAATGTGTATGTCTGCGTCTCTGTTTATATATTCGTGGTTTCGTCTCGAGTCTGTAAATGTGTTTACATATTTTTTCTATGTATATACTATCTTCATTTTCAAAAGGAAGTTAATTTCACGACATATTTTTATAATTCCAACTGGCTCAATAATTACTCTTGATGAAATGAATTGTGATAATTCATTAGCGTATGTCATTCGTGATTTATTTGTGAAAAAATCACCCTGATTTACACATTGATTGATCTTGTCTTAATTAACTTTTCGTCCAATCCTTTTACACGTTTTGTGCTTTTCTATGGCTTCATACGAAATAATAATAATAAGATTAATAACAAAAGTACTCATTTTTTTTGTCAACAACGTTCGAGGAAAAATAGACACAATTAAACAAGCATCAGTCTCTTCTAAGAACAAGGATGGCAGTGAATCAATCGATAGATAATGACATCTTTTATACGCCTTAATGAAAGGCCTTTAATTTTCATCAAGCAATACTTTTCATATTGTATTTTTATGTGTTTATATTTAGAATATAATTAATACAGAACTGTTTACTTTCCCTTATAAACTTGTTTGTGTATAAAATAAAATGAAAAACCCATATCCACATATTATATACATGTAGTTAAAAAATTTCTTGTAATAATTACGTTAGATAACAGATAACAGTTTACTTTTTTTTCAGTAAAATTTGAGCTGTAGGTTGTATTACTTCATTTACGGAATATTGATATGTATACTTCCCTGGCAAAATATGTTTTCCAAAATCTCTATATATACAAGGCAGAAGTGTGTGTGTGTGTGTGTGTGTGTGTGTGTGTGTGTGTGTGTGTGTGTGTGTGTGTGTGTGTGTGTGTGTGTGTGTATGTGTGATGCACGGTCGCAATTTTCGAGGGATTTGCACTGAAATTTACATGCACATGCTCCAAGTTAGCGGGAAGGCTAAGACTGACTTTGCATTGCCCAACTCCCATCGATAGTGGAAATAATCGATTTTTCATGCTTCGACGGAAATTTTCATGTAGAGTGAAGGCCTATAGCTGGCTGCCACGAATAGGCAGGAAGATTATATTGGCCAGCGTGAGAGGCAACAGCTGACTGACACGAATGTTAACTAGCATGCAAAAAAAATCGATAGCTGCATTCGTCTCAAGTGGGGAAAATTTAAATCTGCATGGTACTTTACTCCATTTGGCTCATTCGCTTGCTTAAACTCAACGTTGATTCTGATTCCGCAGGACTGGGTTGGGTGTGAAAAAGTATTTGTTGTTAACATTCTTTTTTCATTCGATTTTTCCAGTTACGAATCGTTTTTTAAAGCTGATCGTTTTGTTTTCATTTTGTTTAGTTCTTTTTTCATAACAGATTTAATATTTAATATAGAGCTTAGAAAAAAATTCGCAGTGTGAGATAGGCAAGAAGTAAGGCATGTAGCAACATCAGCACGGCAGGGGCACTCCTTTAAAGGCAAGGAAGGGCAAACATATTTTAAGTCAAGTGATAGCGATTGGTTGTATGAGTCGTACGATTTTTAAAACAAGCACGGGCAATGCCTGGCCATGTTGCTAGTTATATATTAAAATTCAATTTAGTATTGTTGAGATATGTAAATGCAGCAGATCTCATTTTTATACCATTTATATTGCTCGGACTGTTGTCCTGATCTTTATTATCATATTCTCGACATTTAAGCCTTTCTACGCCCCAATGTTCTTCAGGTGATACACGTTGGAATTTTGAACCGAAAAACGAGGGAAGATTGTTCTAGTTCCACGTACCATGCCTTTCCTATACCCGGTCAGAACTAAGGTGAATAAAATCTTAGGTAACTCAGTTCCAGTTATATCCCTTTTGTAACTAAACATTGCAAGTTTTTGTTCAACTCTGATGTAGCCAAGTGTTGAACTTATAATTTTTTTGGTTAATAACTGTATTACTTCAACAAACGCATTTATCAAATGCTCCCTGTGTCCTTGGAGCTTTGAGTTAATAAAAGGAAATAAATTAAATATGAGATGAGATATCTAGAAAAGCCATGGTACGAGGAACTAGAACTATCTACCCCAGGGTACGAAATAACGGGTTCTGTTAACATGCCAATGTATTTCAGGTGAAAAAGGCCAGATCCTACAACAGCCGAAATGTCGTGAATAAGTCAATACAGATGAGGACAATAGTCCGAGCACAGAAAAAAAAAATATATATATATATATATATATATATATATATATATATATATGTGTGTGTGTGTGTGTGTGTGTGTGCGTGTGTGTGTATATATGTATATATATATATATATATATATATATATATATATATATATATATATATATATATATATATATATATATATATATATATATATATATATATATATATATATATATATATATATATATATATATATATATATATATATATATATATATATATATATATATATATATATATATATATATATATATATATATATATATATATATGTATATATATATATATATATATATATATATATATATATATACATATATATATATATATATATATATATATATATATATATATATATATGTTTGTGTGTATGTGTGTATGCATATTTGTGCACGTGTGTGTTTGTGTCTGTTAGGAAAATCAATGGGAAAGTAGCTATTTTTAAAATGGATGGATTTTTATTATTTAATTCCAAAGAAAATATCCTATTCTTCCTTATAGAATGACTCAGAGGTAGACTAATATATCGAAAAGATTAATGTCTTTCACCTCATCTTATCTACTGCTTCTCAACAATTTGCAGGTTATTTAAGGTGAGATAATATTTTTTCAAGATTTTAAGAATTACCTTTGGAAATAATTATTTTTACAATTTTCATTATCTAATCTATAGCTGGGGGAAAATATGGATTCACATATTCCCAATGGTATTTGCATGTAAGCGAATATAAGCAAACCAACAAGAATCGGAACTCAGCTCTCCGATTAACAATTCTGAGCAATTGTCCATTATAAATTCTGCACATCTAAGATTGCAACCTCTGGTATTCCCAAGCCGTCACCCATTTAGGTAGTGATCAGTATCAATGTTTCTTAGCTTCTTTGATAGTACCCGGACCCGTGTTCGAACTTGGTGTAGCAGTAATCAATTTTCAATACATCTAAACCAAATTAGTACTTTGTTATCACTCTCAAGGGAGCTCCATCATTGAACGACTATTCATTGTCAAATTCTCTACAAGGAATCATGTAATACACATATGCAGGATGCATTGCTAAATATGATAGAAAAATGGTCGGCATATTTTTTCGCTGAAGAAAGTAATGTTAGAGGAGGTTTAGTAACATGACCAAAGGAGAAGATATCAATGAAAACTAGACCAATAAAAAAGGAAAGGATAGCATACGAAGTCTCAATATGATCAAGAGGAGACAAGAAAATATAAATAAATAGATAAATAAAAATACAAAGGATTTTCATGGAATCCATCTATATATAAATTTTTGTGACTTCTGATAGTACGTCCGTCCATCATAATCTTTAAAAGAGACATAGATTGACCTATCGAAGCCAGACT